TGTAATGTTAGTGTCCTTGTATCTTTGTATTTTCTTCTTTCCTTTCTTGAAGTTCTTTGTGACTCTTGGAAGATAAGTGTGTTTGTCTTCCACTTGTAAATTTTCTAYTGATGAATTAATGAAAGTGTTATTGATCAAAAAAAAAAAAAAGTAGAGCCATTAATTCTGCTGTCAGTAGGGCTGTTCATAAGAAGACCCAACCCGATCAAACTGACCAACCCGGACCAACCCAACCCGACCCGAACCGACTTAGTAGTTAGTAGTTAGTTCCTAGTTAGTACTTACAACCTACTTAGTTCCTACTTAACTAAGTTGTCTCTATCCTAGTTACAACCTAACTTAATTTATAGTCTTCTAGTCAGGAATGACATTAATGGCAAGTATTGTAAGACAACTAGACAAGGAATTTTATTGGAAAAGTTTAAAGAAAAGAATCAAAGGATCCTAGTTTTTATGGTCTTTTACACCAAATAGGCAACCAATTACAATTAGAATTAGGTGTCCTTTTTTACTTAGATTAGAAGGTTTCTTGAAATATACAAAATTCAGTCTTCTTTCTCTAATACAGTTTGACTTTCTATTTTCTTGATAACTTCTATTCTAACTTGGTCCGCCCCCTACCAATTTCAGTCTTCTTTCTCCAATCTACCAATTTATTACCATGGTTGAACTTAGAGCCGAAACCGACCCAACCCGACTCAAATCGACCAGGTCAGTTTTGCTTAACACAGGGTCAGTTTCGGTTTCAATTTCAGGTAACCCGACTAGGTCGGGTTGGTTGAAAAAATCTCAGTAAACCGACCCAACCTGACCCGTGAACAGCCCTAGCTGTTAGTGAATCCCCTTGCTGTACAGGACCCGAATAAAGTGCTAGTACCTTCTTCTGTACCTCGAAATACGCCCCCTAAACCAGCCCTTTGTTTCCCAAGAAACTTTCGACAAAATTTAGTTTCACAGAATTAGGTGTTGGCAGTCTCCATTCCATAACCACCCTTTCTTTCTCTTGGCCTGAGTTTGCCACTTCCTTCCATGATCTTAAAATATCATTGAAGGAGAAAACATGGAAGATTTCCAAGGTTTTTACCCAATGTCCAACTTTTATCTTTATGGCTTCTATGATTTCCGACTTAGATCTAGACCTTTCATTGAAACCCTCCCATTCCTTTCTTCCAAAATAGTCCAAATCAGTGCTGCTCTCATTGCTTTCCACAGAATCCTTACTCTCTTCTTTCCCTGCCTCAGGAAGTTTGGATCAAAGAGACCCACCACATCATGGAGAGGAGTCCACCTGCAACCAAAAAGAGAACAGAAATACTGTATAAACAAATGAGATACTTTTTCCACTAGCTTTGCAACGACAACAAACATGAGGGGAAAGGCATTTATTTGGCCTTCTTTTTTTGCAGCAAGTCATAAGTATTAATCTTCCCAAGAAAGACCTCCCATCAAAGGGCCTGAATTTTTGGTGGAATTGGCTTGCTCCAAATCCTTTTTACTGTGAGGTTCAAACCCAAGGTGGTAGACTGAATTAAGTTATTGAAAAAAGAAGTACAAGTGAAGATGCCATCAGTAGAAATTGCCCAAACCCTTGTATCCTCTGTACTTTGGTCCAGGTAGGGCTGTTCACGGGTCGGGTTGGGTCAGTTTACTGAGATTTTTTCAACCGACCCGACCTGGTCGGGTTACCTGAAATTGAAACCGAAACCGACCCTGTGTTAAGCAAAACCGACCTGGTCGATTTGAGTCGGGTTGGGTCGGTTTTGGCTCTAAGTTCAACCATGGTAATAAATTGGTAGATTGGAGAAAGAAGACTGAAATTTGATGTAAAAAAGGACACCTAATTCTATTAGAGAAAGAAGACCGAAATTGGTAGGGGGCAGACCAAGTTAGAATAGAAGTTGTCAAGAAAATAGAAAGTCAAACTGTATTAGAGAAAGAAGACTGAAATTTGTATATTTCAAGAAATCTTCTAATCTAAGTAAAAAAGGACACCTATTTCTAATTGTAATTGGTTGCCTATTTGGTGTAAAAGACCATAAAAACTAGGATCMTTTGATTMTTTTSTTTAWACTTTTCCAAWAAAATTCCTTGTCTAGTTGTCTTACAATACTTGCCATTAATGTCATTCCTAACTAGAAGACTAGAAATTAAGTTAGGTTGTAACTAGGATAGAGACAACTTAGTTAAGTAGGAACTAAGTAGGTTGTAAATACTAACTAGGAACTAACTACTAACTACTAAGCCGGTTTGGTTCAGGTCCGTTTCAGTTTTCACATATGAAAACCGACCGGTGCTGAAGAAAACCCGGCCGATTCGGGTTGGGTCGGTCCGGGTTTGTTGGTTTGATCGGGTTGGGTCTTCTTATGAACAGCCCTAGGTCCAGGAAAACGGAGTCTAGCTTGGCCAAAAGGATTATCAGAGACTCACGTTCCAAGTCCTTAAGACCCCTTTTGAAACCACAATCCCAGTTCGGCCTTGAGGCATTGAAAGTCACAAATTTTGAAATGGGCTCAGATTTATAGTTTGACAAAGTAAAAAGTAAGGGGAATTGGGTCTTTAGAGGTTGTTCTCCCAGCCAAAGATCTTTCCAAAATAAGACCTTGATCCTGTTTCTCACGTCAAATCAAATATTCGTTGAGGAAGGAAGGAAACACCTCTTGAATTGCTTCTAGAGAGATGATGATGATGAAGCATTAGGGGCTACTTTTGCATCCCAACTGTTGTATGAATGCCCATGTATACTTACAATCACCCTTTGCCAGAGCCTTTCACGTTTCAGGGGAAACCTCCAAAGCCACTTCCCCAGGAGGGCTGAATTTTTCTTGACTAAGTTACTTATTCCAAGCCCCCTTTATTCTTTTGTCTACATACCAGCTCCCATTTCACCAAATGATCTTTCTTTTCCTCTCTTGGTTCCCGTAGGAAGTCCCTCATTAACTTCTCCAACTTTCTTGCTATTTTGACAGGAATCTTAAAGGTGGAAAAGTAGTAAATTGGAAGGTTAGCCAATGTAGCTTTGGTTAAAGTTATTCTCCCCCTCCCTTCCATGGACATATAATTTCTTTTCCACAAAGCTAGCTTACGAGCAAATCTCTTCACCACTGGTTTCCAAAAGTCTTCCAGATTTTGGGTTTCCTCCCAAGGGGAGACCTAAGTATTCCAAAGGCCTGGTGAATAGACAATGGTAGCAGGGAGACAATGATGCAACACCAACCTGTGTTCTCTCAGTTAGAAAAGGAGCAACAGAAGGATAAAGTGTGTGCTGATGACTCTGCTGCCAGTAAGAGTGCGACAATGCAAAACAACGGTGGCGTTGACAACAAGACAGTGAACGAGACTCTTCAGAACCTGGTGAGTAGAGAGGTCGCGGTTGGTAAGAGCCTGGCTTTATTTTTCTGGGGTGGTGAGGAGTTTGCCATAAGGGCCTTTGAGGAGAGCTTGAAAGAAGGAAAAGGGAAGAGAAGATGAACAAAAAACCTAATCGGGATGGTGACATGCGCTGGGACAAGGATGTTTTAGGCCGGGAGGATGTATTTGTGGTGGAAGATTGAGGCTTGGGTTGTGAGGCAAGGAAGGTTTAAGTTTTCAGCTTAGGGGTGGGTCTGGTTACTTTTGCTCCGTTGGGGATCTCTTGGTTTGTTTTATTGGCTTGCACTCGAGATTGTTTTGAGAAAAGTTGTAAGTTTTTGCCATTTGGTTTTAGGGGTCTTAGTATGGGATCTTTGAGATCTTTGTTGAACTCTTGGGTTTTTTTCCTCTTCAAGTGATGTCTTATCACCTTCCTTTTGTATTCTTTTTCCTTTTTAATGAATTTTAATTTATTCTTCAAAAAAAAAAAGTATTCCAAAGGCCAACTCCTAACTTCACAACCTAAGAGACCTGCAATTGTATAGATTTCCTTCTCTTGTAGATTTAGGCCCACAGCACAGCTTCTTCCTAGGTTAACCTTCAAGTTTGAAACCTTTTCAAAAGAACTAAGAATCTCTTTGAGGTACCCTAAGGAAGAGGGAATACATTTGTTTTCCTATTTTCCCTACCAATAAATAGTAATTTTACTAATCATGCTCCATGCTAATTTACGTTCTTATTGTTAACTACCATACTGTTTTTCATGCTATGACCTGAGGCCTAGTCCTTACATGTCCTTGGTAATAGTAGCCTTGACATTTTCAATTATGCAATAAGAGTTTCAAGTTGAAAATATGTAAAAAACTGGAAAAGAAAATACACGGTGGATGGTATGGATCAGTAGCACTGCAAGAGTGGTTTATCCAATTAGTACACATTTCTCTTGTTGTACAAAAAATTGTTGGGCACCTCAAGTTCCTTCTTTATAATAGTGTTTGTTTAATTAATCTATGGTGGTAAATTATTTATGCAACTTCTTGTATTTGACCATTTACTGAGACAGTTGGATCAATCTAACTCTGGCTTCTTTTTTTAGAGACTACGCCTTATTGAAGTTTTTGACATAAAACGCCTTCAAATGCGCTATGCTGCTTCTCTGATTGGGTGGGTCATAAATTGACTTAGTCTCTAATTTTCAACTTCCTTTCAAAACTTGTTAATTAACTATACTTTGTATTTTCAGGGGACCATCCACTTTAGCTACTTTTGTAGCTGTGTATGCACTTTTTGGCCCAACTTTCCCTGGAATTTATGACAAGGATAGAGGGGTTTACACACTATTCTACCCTGTATGTTAGCTTTATACATGATAGAGGACTTTTTATAAATAACTTTATCCATTAGTTCTTTGGGTTATTTACCCATTATTGTATATTTTTAGGGATTGTCCTTTGCTTTTCCAATTCCTTCCCAGTATACAGATTGCTGCAATGATGGAGAAGGTATGGGGCTTCCCCTTATTCTTTCCAACTGATACATCTACTAAGCACCATGGAATTAGGATCTCTTACTAATTTATTTTGTCTCTTTGCAATAGCGGAGTTACCACTTGAGTTTCCAGATGGGACTACACCAGTTACATGCCGTGTCTCAGTATACGATAGTGCTGCAGATAACAAAGTTGGTGTAGGATCCCTTTTGAATAAAGCTATTGCTCCTCCATTACCTGTTGACAGTCTCTACATGGAAGAAGTGCATGTTAAGGTTTGGCCTATCTATTTTCAGTTTCTACACCACCCATTTTTGGTCAAGTTCTTATCCATATTTGTTTTCAGCTGCCTTCATTTTAGCAAGACTTTTTTTCATGTCAGCATATCTTTCTTATATGCTTTCTTTCCGTTGATATCTGCCTACTTTTCTTCTGGTTAACATCATGTTATATAGATGTATTGCTAACCGTTTTTTTGCTGTATAAAATAATGTAATATTCTTTCGACATTTTGAAGATCATTTCTTGTGGTTGAACTTTTGTAGTTCTAGTTCAAAGTAAGGTAGAAGCTATTGCTTCTTCTGGTGGCAGGGTTTCTGCTTAGAATCTAGCTGCTTGATATAGACTATCTATATTATATAAGGGAGTTTCTCAGATATTTAAGGTATGGATTTCATGCAGCTTGGTGAAGAACTATGGTTTACAGTGGGTGGCCAACATATTCCTTTTGGTGCATCACCACAGGTCTGTTTAATTTTGGGTTTAAATCACTCTTTTGTTTTCTTTCCTAACGCCTCTTGTGCATGATAACTCTTCTGCCTGTTGTTCTGCTCTATCTCTTATCTAAGACAATAAGGCTATGTTTGGTTTGAAGGAAAAGGTAGGGAGATTTATACAAGGTTTGTATAGGATTCCCTACCTTTCCATACTTTTTCCTTCAAACCAAACACAGCCTAAGAGTTTAGTTGTTACATGTAATTCTCTGTTATGAAAATTGCTACTACTGTTTAGCTGCATCCAATTTCTATCCTCACCATCATCAGTGCCATTGTCATTGCATTTTAACTGTATAACTAGGAACAGTTTCCTTAATAAAATGAGTCAAATCATTTATCTTTGAAGAAAGTTCAGCTTTCAAAAATTATGTAGATGCTATTGATAGTTTAGGATGCAAATGCAATGGAAATCTGTGCTAATGACTCAGTTGTTCCATCTTTTGTGAGTACAAATGCTTTACATCTTTTGTGGATGTACATAAAATGTATCAATTTTTTTTGGATTGATTCTAGGCTGATCCTGAGGTTCATCTTTTGAGCTAGTCAGTAATATCTGAATCATCCTAAACATGCCTTGGGATTGCTGTGTTAAAATGTCATTTTTTGATGGTTTAGATGCTAGGGATGTTCTCTCTCTCTCTCTCTCACACACACACACACACACACACACACACACACACACACACACACACACACAGACTCTATACATACTTTGGATAAAATCAAAATATCAGCAGAAGAGATCTGATTCTGTATAAGTCAGGAAAATGGATCCTGACTTGTATAAGCAATACACTGTAAACAGAGGCAATTCTTCCTCAATTTAACTTTTATTGGTCACATTTAAAACAAACAGAAGGAAATGTCCTGATTAACTATTTTTCTCACACAAAACACACCATCTACTTGAAATATGCTTATACTGCATACCTTTTACTTGGTGAACCTCAATTTCGTACAAGGGTATGGTGTTAGAATTAATTATTACGACTTTTGTAGGTTACTGATCACCTGATTCTTGGTCTGCAACTTGGCTTGGGATGGGACTAGGATTTACACATCTAACCCTTAGAGTTGGGCCTGAAGCCTAAGGATATGAAATGAGGAAAAACCCAAGGTTGTCAGCCTGATTCGAATACAACATAAACTCTTAACACAACTTAGTAGGTTGTATCACATTTAAAAGAAAACCTTGGGTTTGGGTTTGCTTGGATTTAGGGCTTTTGGTCTGAATAGAGGTGACAATTTCAGGCTCAACCCATGAGACCCACCCAACCCACCCATTTATACCTCGACATCACCCAATGGGTGGACTTAAATGGGTTGGGTTGGGTCAGGTCGTGGATATTTATTGGGATGGTGCATGAATGATAAAAGTATTCCTAGTCATTATCTCATTAATCCCTTGTAAATAATGCATTAAAGCAGCCTATAATTAATTATCAACCCATAATTTATGCAACTATTGTAATTATTAATTAATTCCATGTAGTAGGGATGCTAATGGGTTGGGTTTTGCTATGGATCTGGATCAACCCATACTGATCCAAATTAACTCCCAACCCAGCCCAACTAAATGCAGGCAGGCTATGAAAGCCGACCTGACCTGCCAAACATATAGTTCGTCCATATTCAACCCATTCCCCACCTGAATTAAAACAAGTCCAATCCATTGCATATATAGCTTGGACCAATCCACACAAAGTCTGAATTAACCTAAGCCGACAAGAAACCCAACTGAGGCTGATAAACCCTTGGTTGATAAGGTTTACCACTTAACCTGACCCATTGACATCCTTAGCCATTATATCTAGATGTATACTCTTGTAATTTTGTTGAGAAAAGATAACAGAGTTCAATCAAGGGACGGATGTACATGGGGGATGTAAAATTCCTTGTCAACAAAAAACAAAAAAACAAAAAACAAAAAAAAAAAAAAACAAAAAAACAAAAAAAACAAAGAACAAAGAAGAATAAAGAACAAAGAACAAAGAACAAAGAACTAAGAACAAAGAACAAAGAACAAAGAACAAAGAACAAAGAATAAAGAACAAAAAACAAAAAACAAAAAGCAAAGCCCGCTATTAGTTTGGCACTGTATGTGCATTATACAAAAAAGTCCCTTCCCAACCCAGATTTTGCTAGGTTATTTGCCAACTGGTTTAACTCTCTGGGAATCCATCTAAAACTGTACTGCAAGCAAGGGGAAATCTCCCAAATTTCTAACAAGAGGTGAGAGAGCTTTCAAGGATCAGTGGTCTGTCCAGGCACCCAATTTTTGACATTCCTCGTGTCCCTTTCCACTGCAATGGAACTAAGCTGCTGCAACTTAGCAATTCTGAGGCTTTAAAGGAAAGCTCGAGACTCTGCTTCCGTTGCATCAGCTGCCTTGGGTGGACCACTAAAAATCCAAGCCAATTCTCCATTTGATCTGCACAACAGGCCTCCTATTCCAGCTGTGGAGGACCCCCCTCCAAAGTCTTCCTGAAACTTCCATCAAAGCTCAGAATGAACTTGCTTTCTTTTCTTTGGGTGATTTTAATGGGAGGCCAAAAAAGAGAGGTCGACAACAGAACTGGCCAATTTCTTTGCAGGTCACTCTGATTGGTACCATCAAAGACTTTACTGTTCACCATCCAGCTATTAAGATTAGCTAAGATACCACCTCTAAGAGTGTCCAAGGAGGAGTATTTCTCTTCGAATATTCTCCTATTTCTTTCCTCCCAAATGTTCCACATGACAGCATGAATAACTGCTTTCCAGAAGCATCTTCCTCTCTTGCCCAAATTGATCTTCAGCCCTTGCCAAAGAGTAGATGAACTCTATAACAGAATTTGGGGGAGTCCAGCTAAAGCTGCCCATTGCTAAAGTGTCAAGGAAAATTTGCCAGACTCCTAGCCACCTTGCAATTAACGAGGAGATGACTGATTTTTTCACCATCACTGTAGCACATGATGGAAACAAAAAGGAGAGATGTAAAGCCTGCCTTGAAGCTTCTTTTGGAGGTTGTCACAAGTATTTAGCTTTTCCAAGTTTCCTCCCAAATGAAGAAAGAAATTCTAGGGCTACTGGGGGTAGCCAAATGTTTTTGCCCGGAAAAGGAGAGGGAATAGGGGTGGTGGTTAGATGTTGAAGGAAAGAAAGGGTAGTAAAGGATCCATTTGGGGTTAAGGACCGGATGAGCTTGTCCATTGTAGAGGGTGAGACAAAGACTTCTGAGAGTGTAGAGTAATTAGTACTCAACATTTGATTAATTGCTGAAATCAACCTGTGGTTAACTACAACAACCATTGTAATTAATTGTCAACCCAAATCATAATTAACTACAACTAATCCTCACTAGTGCAGGGCATTTAACTCCATTTAAATTCCCCATGTAAAAATGGCATGCATGTGAAGTGATTTGAACCCAGAACACTTGGCTGATAAACAACCACTCTTACAATTATGCCATGTCAAATTCGTTAAGAATAAGATGGTTTTAACTTTTAAGCTATTTTCCTTAACTGAATTTAATATTTTTGAGTGTCAATATAATTTATGTTAATTTTATAGAGTTTGTATACATGTTTTAATCAACGTTGTAAATCTCAGGCTGAACATAAAGCCAAAATGCTCTTTGGGCCACAGTTTTATTTACTTATTTTTCTTATTGTAATTTGGTCACGGTTTTATCAATTTTTTTGATCAATAACAGAATTTCATTAGAAATATTAAAAATTTTCAAGATAGGGAGAGGTAAACTCTCCACAGACAAAAAAACTATTACAGCTGAGCCCAAAACAACTTGTTACTCCCCACCCCTTGTTTTGTTAATACATCAGCAAAACCGTTCTGCCCTTTTTACCCAGCTGAACTGCACTTTCATACCTTGAATCATCCACTTGAATCTCTTTTTTTTTTCATTATTGAAAACCCAAAAAGCTTTATCTTCCTTTTGCAATCACTCCAATACCAGCTTTGAATCACCTTCTACAATCAACTTTCTCACATTCAGATCTTTTGCCTTTTGCAATCCTTCCATAACCGCCATAACCTGCCCTTGGGGAGTCACCTATTCCAATCGGGCCTGAATATAGACCAATGATCTTGCCTTCACTGTCCCTAAACACCCCTCCATCAAAGTTCAACTTAATGTAGTCAAACGTTGGAGGAGACCAAGCAGGGCTTATATTAGAATTGTGGCAATCAGAACTAGCCACTTCCTTCCATTTGTTCATGATATCGCCTGTTGAGAAATCAGCAAATATCTTCATAGATTTTACCCAATGAACCACTCTCACCATAATGATTTCAATGACAGCTTCTCTACTTCTTTCCTTGTCTAAGAATTATCTTGCATTTCTTTCTTCCCATAAAGTCCAGCTCACAGCCGCCCTTACACATCTCCATAATACTCATCCCCTTTTCTTTAGCCTTAACACAAAAAGACACCAGTCTGGGGATAAACACCAATTAGCCCTTTTCCTTGTGAGCAAGTCACAAGTATTAATTCTTTCCAGGAAGACTTCCCAACAAAAACCTCCAACTCAAACTGTAAAAACCATGATTTAATGAAGACTCAACCATTCAGTTTGGCCAAACTCTTGCAACACTAATTTTAATTCTTCTACTAGTTTCCAAGTACACCTCATAGTTGACACAATGTTTTAATCCGTAGTTGAACTAGATGATTGGACCAATTATCCACCACCTGGCCACATTTCCATGCCTGTTCTGTTGTAAAAAAATGACTTGGTCAACTACCCGATGGTCCAGTCAGTTGTATCTATTCGTTTCTTGTTTTCTTATATTTTTAGCCAAAAATTCTCATTTATCGCACTTATTTTTGTTTCATATGATGAATATATGATATTAGAGACATGCCCAGTTTTTTTACATATTTTTTATACACTGTGTCTATTTTGTATTTTTATTTTATTTATGACATAATTGGATGACGTAGTTGACCTGGAAGGTTGATCTGTTAACCAGCCCCTGGGACAAAAAATGATTCAGTTTCTAGGTCTGTTTTTAAAATATCAAGTTCACACTTCACGCAATTATCATAGTACTTGTTTATAATGTAAATATATCATATTTATAGTAATATGAAGCTTAGATTTAGTGTTATGATGTATTTGTGGGATTTATTTAAGGGTTGGGGGCAGGCTGGTTTGAGCTTGGGCCTGGGCTATGCCCCTTATTTAAGATAATTATTAGGTTGGGCAGGTTGGATTGGGTCAAGGCGGGTTTGGATTGAACCTTAACCTTTTAGTTTTATTTAAATAGGTTGGCAGGTTAGATAGATGGGTTGAAGCTCAACCGAACCCCAACCCATTCAATTGCCTCTCCTTCTGGAGATTAAAGAGAAGAGATAAGATAAATAGTATTTCTTTCTTTTTTTTTGATAAAAAATAGTATTTCTTTCTTAAAGTCAAACTTAATGCATTGCATTTAAAAATTACCTTTAGAGTAGAGTTGAATGGTGTGTATATAAACACATATACATATATATATATAGTGTACGTAGTCTGTATTATGTTATAGCCTAGTGACATAATGTATTATATACAGTTATACACAAGGGGTTGAGTTGGGTAGGTCAGACTACCTGATGCTTCAACCCAAGCCCAATGTGATGCTGGAACAGGATTGGGCCTAGCTTTTCAGGTTCAGGCCCAGTTAGTGCCCAAAAAATAGCCCAACCTGTGCCAAAGCTTGTAATTGTACCCTGTCTAATTCTTGCTGTGGGTCAATTGGGTTATATTAGTCTATATTGGTGTTTTGGATTTTTAAAGTTTTTTCTTGTTCAATTCTGTTATGTTCTTATTAATTATATTTGATGACCACTCTTTCCAGTTTCTTGGTGCCTTATATTACTTACTGTTCTACAGGATGTGTGGACCGAATTAGGACGTCCTTGTGGAATCCATCAAAAGCAGGTAAAGATTTATGCCACTTTTAGAAGCTGAAACTTGAGACTTGTATGAACTGCTCCCAACATATATGGATTTGGAACAATAAAACTGTGTGTTAGGTCTTTATCCACTCAACCCGTCCCAAAACCCCAGATAGCTGGGACCAACATTGGTTAATGGCTTTTTATTAACAACAAATCTGTGTGTGTTATGTGCTTGTATAGGAGGACGAGAAGAAAATAGATACAAAAGAAGATTGTGTACATTTGATGTTTGATTAACTCCTGTTTGACACCAAAATCAATCTTATACTCCCATTTATTTCTTGAAGTCTTTGTGCACTAGTGTCAGCTGGTGACCTTGCAAACCATATGCATTGCTATTGAGTTGCTTTTGAATATTCTTTTGTCCCCCTCCCTTACAAATATGCCAAAGGTTCTTGCAAGAGTTTGGTTTAAGGAGTTACTGTGGATTTCATTTTGAGAGGATGGTCTATGGTGGCTGGTTTTACTCCTCAAAGAACACAAGTAATCTAAGCATGAGTAGTTCTGGATTTTAAAAATATCAGTGGTACTAATATGGACTCCAGTTTTCTTCAGCAAGGTGTTGGTGTCTTAGTTATATGAGAGTTGGGTAGGGGTTACTGATTTTGGGAAGAGTAAGTGGTTTATCAGATGAGTGAAAGGTCGGGGCTGAAGATTGGATGTGGATGTGGCTGTTGCTAGTTTCGATGCTGATAGGTGACAAAATGATTTTCTACTGTGGAGTTTTTTGCCTTCTGGGTTGGGTGTATGAGTTTTTTATTTGTTTAAGCAGGGGCTGTGTATTTGTTATTGAATAGTTTTGCTTTCTCTTTCAGGTGATTCCTTATTGCCTTTTCTTGTACTTTTTTTTTTCTTTTAATAAATTTTGTTTTACCATAAAAATAGAGTTGTTCTGGATTTGGGTGAGTCATAAAGATGAATTTTGATGGTTGCTCACTTGGAAACCCGTCCTGCAGAAGGGGGTGGGTGTTCTTAAAGACCATTTGGGCAAATATTATCATAAGTTACTTGATTCCAGCAGGTGAAGGTAACTCCATTAGAGCTGAATTCCTTGTTCTACTTTAAGGACTGAAACTGACTTTTTGTCAGGCTGGAGTGGATTTTAACTGGAGGCGGCTATCAAACTGTAGTTGGCTGGATGCCTAGAGTTTCATAAGGTCCTTGGTCATTTAGGCACCTGACTAGAAAAGCTAAATCTTTAGCCTGCAGACTGAACAATGAAAGCTAAATTACTGTAGCCGAAGTAGCAGAAAAGAGAAGAAGAAGAAGAAGAGATGCTGGAATGTTGAACTGAACTGCTCAGTCGACAGTACTATTATTTATATTATGATGTAGTACAATGATACAGGAAGTTACTAGAATGCCCCTGATTAGTGATGGGACACCCAAACAACTTAAAA